ATGTGTCATTGCCACAACAAGTGGACGAATAAGATTTCGTTCCTTGTGAGTGCAACAATGTGAAGAGCTAATTTGCACAAGCAATTGTCTTGGGGGAGGGGGATGTCAGGTTGGGTTAGCAGCTCGAATCTCTGTTGTGGCATCTATGAGTAGTGGGGAATCTGCAATACCGAGTGGGCCAGTTCAGCAGTCAGGCCACCAAGAAGAGTCCCGGTGCTCCAGATGGCCAGTCTGCCACTCTCTACATCTGAATTGGGGCACTTCTATTATGTTTTTTTTAATTAAATTCAATTAAGTTTTGATGGTAAATCATAGACAGCTAAAGTTTGTATAGACATGTTCATGCTCTATAAAAATCTGAAATTGTTATTGGTCCATAAAAATTGGAATCAGTGCATCTCTATGTTTTCGTGTTAAAATCAGTAACATTTTTAGATAAACTGAAAATGACCAAACTCATACATGGCAGAGCAGAGTAGAAATAAAAATGTGTTTTCATTTCACAAAATCTTTACCTGTGCAATTCTATTTTATGTTAAAGGCAATAAAGTTTTTCATGATAAATTGAAGTAGAAATGTGATATCAACAGGTCGAGCTATACAAAGTTTAGAACCGGTTCACAATATTAGAATTGGTGAATCTTTTTACTCTTTTTCTTAAATTCAATTTTTTGGTGACAAGGAAGGTAAGATAAAGGTAAAAGGGAAGTTAGGGAACAATAGTGTTTCACTATTTAGAAGTGAGAATCTGCACATCGTGCGATGTCACGCACACGCACTTGTTATAAGTGTAGGCATTCATAAAAAGTTTTAAAAGTGTAAGTCAAATCCTACAAAAAATACAGCTCGCAAGGATCAACTCCTGAATGTTTATGTTGTACTTTGGGATAATTATAACGTTATAACATTTGTTATTAGTCCAGAAAAGCAGGGTTGTGCTCTGGCTAGAATGAAAATGGAGCAGTAGGTCAGTCTATTTCTGTGTTCCGCTCACGTTGCAGCCCAACGTGACTGCAAGAGGCAGCGAGGTGCCAAAATAAAAACGTGATGCAAGCACTACACGAGAATGTGTGTCACATTGAGGAAGGAGGAGGAAGCGGAGGCCGCTGCCAAAAAATTTGACCTACTTCTAGCTGCTCTGGGGGAAAGGAGGCGAGGAGGAGCGGGAACGCGATTAATCTGGAGCTGAAGCGCACAGACAGACAAGAGGGTCATTTGCGTTGGTCTAACGAGGTAATAAATTATTAATTATTAATTAGCATGTTTGTGCATTTGATTTATAAATACCGAGAGATTTAAATGAGTTTATTCTGATTTATTTCGCGAATTGTTCTCGGGTTCGTGTTGCGTTTATCTGCTGTCGGGATATCTTGTTTACCTCGACTCAGGGCTGTTTTGATGGAGGTCACGTGACCGAGACCCCCACCCGCCTGCTGCGTTTAAGTTCATAACAAACAAATCACTCGGACAAATCCACGGAACGGTCAGCTTCACGCCTCATTTGCTCCGACCGGATAAATAACGGATTCTTCTTCTTTCTGGACGAAGCGGTTCCGATAACGCAGATGGTGAGAGGAAACGCTTCCTTAACGTCACAACGTGAACTTTGCACGTTTGTGTTTATGCAGCTATGACGCGGCTTGACCAGAGTTTTTATTTTGAGTTGAGACAAACAAACCCGTTAGCTGATACTACTCATACCCAAAACGCTGTAGTGTGTGTAAAGTAAGTGCCTGAAGTGTGCGTGTTTGTTGGATGACAGGAGTGCACAGCATCCCCGCTGATGACCCGCAAAGTTTTGCAAAGTCTACCTGCGTCACTTTCTCCCCGTTCCTTTACAGGGGAGCCATGTTTTGTCCCGCCGCAGCTTTGCTCCTGCGGTTTTCCGTTGTTGCGTGGCTATTAGTATTATTAGTTTGACTGTCTCGGATAGTCAGAGTGAAACGTGACCCGCGCACCGCGTCCGATCTCTGCAAAACAACTTTCACTTCGCAGCGCAGTTTCAAATTACAACCCTCACACACAAACCTGCAATTAAACCATTAAAAAATGTGCAGAACTGCGACATTTGGTTTGTGCGCGCGCACACAGAAACTGACAGCTACAGAAAGCGCTCTCTTTCTGCTCCGAACATTTTGTACTTTAGGTGTCAGCACGCCTTTTAGGACCTTCGGTAATTTGGATTTCGCCTCGAAGTTGCTGCTTTTGCGGCTGTTTGGTGTTTATGTGCAGCCTGACCTAAATAAGTAGGTCATTTTTCTTTTTTTTACAAATAAAAAAGGTCTGTTAAGTTCTCAGGAAGTTGGTTTAGTGTTTCAAGGGTGCTGAACTTTTTTCAGGGGATGCCAGAGCAGAGGACACAACGTTCTCATGGAGGCTTTTTTCAAATTTGTTTTTCAGAACTAAACAGGAGGAAGAAAACATTTAAAATTCGTGTTAGCAGGAAGTTTAACCCACATTTTAGTTCTTGTCCTATTGGAGCATGCACTGAACTTAATTAAAAAAACATGGGAGTGAATTAAATAAAGGTTATTGCTTCTGCATTATTATTACCTCATAATGTGCCACAACACTCATAATGCTCCAAGCAGCTTTTTTCTGTGTGTAGACATTAAAGGGTTAAAGTGTACATCAGAGAACTGAAAGTGCATCAGATCTAGTCCACCACATGACCCATATTTGGACTCATTTACTTCATTCTAAACCTAAAGTGGTAAAATCCTGGCGAGATGGGTTTGGTGAATAACTGGATGACATCAATAATCTTCAGATTTTAGAGCCTGAGAGCAAAAACCTCAGCTACATCTAGAGTTATTCCTTTAATTATCTGAGGCAGATTGAGAATGCTGGAAACATTCCTCACCATGTGACCTTTCCTGTGACAGAGCAGGTGGGGAATCTGGCTCAGTTGGACCCAGCAGGGCGAGTTCTGTGTTTGGGGATTTTTGTTTGTTTGTTAGGTCTCTGTTGTTATGGATGCGGCTGTAAAGACCCAGTCTCATCTTGAGTTTGTTCTCTAACAGTGACATGGTGATGGCCTCTATATCAGCATCTACCGGAGGACCTTCAGCGTCCCACTCCAGTCTCACACACCTGGGAGGCATTGAGGCCCTGAAGCTGAAGGTGGGCCCGGTCCGGAGGAACCTCTTTGGGCCGGTAGACCACGAGCAGCTGCAGCAGGACTTCCAACGACTGCTCCACATGACTGTGGAGGTGGCCAGTAAGCGCTGGGGCTTCGACTTCCAGGAAGACAGGCCAGGAGAGGGCACCGACATGGAGTGGGTGGAGCTTGAATGCAAAGATGTGCCGAAGTTTTACCGCAGCCGCGTAGTTCGGCCGGTGGTGCGGAAAACCAAAGGTCCAAGGCGAATGTCGTCATCATCTTCGTCTTCATCTTCATCAGGGGAAGGGTCTCCCATTTCCAGCAGTTCGTCTGGTTCTGGGGACGAGTACCTAGAAGTGACCACGAGGGGGCGCTACTCAATTCAGCGACTGGAGAAACGCAAACAGGCCGCCATAACAGGTGAGCTCAGCGTCACCTCCTCTGGTAGCTCGTTTATACGAATCGGAAGTGGCCGCTTTAAATCAACGCATCATCTCCGTTCTCTCTCTAGATTTTTTCAAGGTGAAGAAGAGGAGGCTTCTGCATTACAAGATGTCATCTCGGCAGTAAAAACACGACCGGACCAGCCGATGGGTTGGGCCGCCTCACTCAGATCACTCGTGTACATGTAGCAGGTTCTAATGCTTGTCCGCAAGCTCCAGGTGTTTGGGCTCAACAGGGAGTGCTTCTTGTTAATCAGGCGGTTATACACACATGCTGTATGCTTATATACTGTTTCACTCAGCTTTTGACTATACTGTGAAATCGTGCTAAATGCCCTCATCAGGACCCTAAAAGTATGGGTGCTCGTGTTCAGAGGTTGACCCGACCCCTTTTCCTCCCCCTCACGCGCAGCCTTTGGGTTTCACCACCGGGGGTTTGAACACTCGAGGTGAACCGGGGGTGAAAACCTCAGGCCAGGGTTCAAAATGTGGCAGCACGACTGTCATTACCTCCAGGTTGAAGGTCAAAGGTGGAGGCTAAGCTCTTGAAACTTTTCTGAGTAATAATGATTATTATTGTTAAAAAGACTAAGACGCAGATCAAATTACCATCAATGTGGTAAAATAATGCACAAATAACAGTATATTTGCTTTAATTAGATCTTTGACCCAAAGGCGTTGCCTCGTGCTTTTAATACGATAACATTTACTTTATTTTTGTCCATGAAGGGAAATTTTGCTGTCATTCAGCAGCTTCGAGGTAATTTGATTCTTGAGGGTGCAGCTGCTTTTTCTGCTCTTGCATATTTTATTTTCCATCAGTTCTCAACATGGAGGCAGCTGAGACACGTCGACCAAAGCTGCTTTTGTGCATAAGATTTATTCCATCAATGTTCCGATGAGCATTTTTTACCAGATGTGCAAAATCAAAGTCAGTTTCGTTCTCCCTTCGTTGTGCAGTCCTCCAAATTTGGACATCAACGGGATCTGGACACTTTGGATCCAGAAGCCATAGTCTGGATTCTTCCAGTCCTACTACCTCATCAGATGATTTAATAAGACTTAAAAGTATCCTCTGCAGCTCAGGATGTTTGCGTCTACAGGCAGACAAGTGAGACAGAAAGAGTCGTGTTCTGTTGTGGTGGAACATCGGATAAATGAGTCAGTGTGTCAGAGCGGGGGCCTCTACACAGAGGAAACGCCAGTTCCCCCGATGGGGGGGTTGTTTTGTCTCCCACACATCGGCTCGCTTCGCTGTGACAACTTTCCCAGAATAGTCTGGCGGGGATCAGGGACAAACTTTTAATAAGAAAACGTCTCCATCAAAAGACACGTCCACATAGACTAGAGTCACTCTAGTCTGGACTGAAAATTCTTTAACAGATTTAAACACAAAAAACCTTTTATGATAAAGATTTTTGTCCTATTTCTGTCATCTTACCTGTTAAATGTGCGTGCTCTCAGTCTTTCAGTGTTTATTAACTTATTTTCAGTTCTTGTCTTTTGTTTCCATAGGAAAAATAATGATAAATTCCCTGTTTTTTTTTAAATAACTAACCAACTGTAGGATTTCAGAAACTTTATCTTTGCACTACTTCAAATTGTGTCGAAAAATAAAAAGCTATTTTTTTACGATCATTTTAAAAATAAGCCAAACAGCTAACACGGTAGAAGCTGAAACACATTTGAGTTTTCTCAACTTCAGTGTTTGGAACAAATAAACTCATATCCAGCAGCATTAGCTAAATAACCTGCTGCAGCTATAACAAAGTATAGTATTTTTGTACTTTGTAAATGCATGAATGTAATTATTTGTATACCATTTGTAATAATTTTGTTGTAATTTTATTTTGTATGCTTGCGAACTGTTACAGTATATAACTGTTGTATGATATCCTTCCTTATAGAGATTTGTATAGAGAAAACTTCCCTTTTGGTTGGTGCACTTTTGCTTTTCAGAATGCTGTTTGCTCAAATAAAATGTAAAATCATGTTGATGAAAACTATTCGTGCTCTGAAGCTTGTTTTTATTATTTTTTTATTTCAGGATCTGATCCAACATGCTCTCATTTTGGGGTTGCAGCACCCCCTAGTGGTTAAGATGCAGAAAAAACTTCACAAAGGTGCGCAAAAATGTCACTAGCATTTAGTTGAAGACACAAATTACAGTTACATAAAAACATAAATAAAATGTTTAAAAACAAAATAAAGATTATATTCTATTACATTTGATTTGCATGTTTTATAATCAAATTATATAAAAAACAATCTGTTATCAGAAAATGCAACAAAAGGAGGGCGTAATGTAAACATTGATAGTTTAAGCAAAAACAGTTTAAGTGTTGATGACTAGAGGGGTGTACTATGTCAGCAGAGCAGGGATTTCTTCCTTACGTCTGGATTAATACGAAAAGATTTCAAGTGCAGCGGAGGTGGTTCTGATGCTATTTAACAACTCAGGCATTCGGGTTTAGTCTAAATATCACATTTTTACTCAAAAAGACTCTGAACAAATAAAAATGAAACAAACTCTCATGAGACTTAGTTCATAAAACCAGCAGGCTGTATAACTGTAAATCAGGAAAACAAAAAATAAATTTGATTTTGTCCCATAAACTATGTCACTGAGTAAATAATAATAAAAAAATAAACAGTTTAATAAATTTAGCAGGAAAAGCTCAAACGAGTTAAATCTCATTTTAACAAACTTCTCAGCTAATCTGGACAACTTGGGGTAAATTCATGGTTCTGGTGGTTGAAAGCAGAATCCAGTCACTGCAGCTGAGTGGTGGAAACGGAGAACAGATTGGGTTTTTAAAATGAGCGCCGATGAATCAGGATGAGTTTTACGTCAGATCAGAACTACTGAGCTAAAACTCTTAATTCTACCTGATGTGTGTACCTGAGCAGACGTCATCTGTAGGTACATTTGGTGACTAAAGTTAATTTAAGGGGTTGAGTTTTGAAATCATTTGACAATCAGACTTTAGTTTGAAATGTTACAGGGTCAGACTTAAGCGTCCTAACCTGCTGGTGAGCTGTTACCATGGTGATCTGGCTCAACATGGCGGGCTAAGACGAAAACCTCGCTCCATAGTACATCCCCTCTGCCCCAAGTGCTCCATTAGAAATGCTTAATAGATGATTAGTTGGACCAAAGCGTCACTACGACTCTTAACGTCACAGAAAAATACAAAACAAAGAAGATCGTTAATTTACCCACATTCGATTTTAAGCCCAGGTTCATAAATACTTCACATCTAAGCTCAGACAGAAACAAACGGGCTGATTTAGGCTCACTTGAGGAAGCTTGAAGGCAGGACTGAGTGCAAATTAAGACACTGAATTTAAAGATGTAAACATTCAAGTGGAAGGGAATGAAGAGCAGTCCTCCTCATAACGAGAAGGTTTTACCATTACTGACCCTGATTACAAAGAGCTGTTCACAAAACAGTTCAAGCACCTGCAAGTCATAAACAACGACTTGGTTCGTTAAAATAAGCTTCTAATAAGCATAATGACCTCAAGCAATCATAAAAAAGGTGAAACATTCATAAGTATCTACAAAAACAGACACATTTCTACAGTACAATTACTATTTACATTCCTAAGTCTGACTTCACCACAGGTCAGATGTTTAAATTAAAACTTAAAAAGTGAATTATTTACATTTAAACTCACATCTATGAGCTGACAGACTGGCCCGACGCTCCAGATCCCTTTTATCATCAGGCACTTCGACCCAAAGCCCAAGCGGAAACTAGTCTGGACTGTGGTTTTGGATTCAAACCGACCTGCGGTGATGTCACGCTCACAGCTGGCGGCTCTGAGCCCACCTGTCTCTCCACAGAGCTCTTAGTTCTCTCACCAGCAAGGGTGTGATGAACACAATGCTGCCCCCCGTCTGTAGGAACAGCAAATGCACGTTTTGGGTCAAAAGTGAGTCTGAATAAATCACATATGTGTTGCTGCTTTTAGAGAGAAAACCTGTTACCATAACGATGAAGAAGTAGAACACATTCATCCAGCCCAGCCTGCTCTCGATCAGCGACACCAGGTACTACATGATGGTAAACATGGAGACCAAACTCAGAATACTGTCAAAATATGTTGCCTTGCTGAACTTTTTCAGTGAGAAACGTCTTCCTCGTCTTGTCTCACCTGTCCTCCAGCAGCTCCTATGCTCCCAGTCCCGTCCACTATCCCAGTGACAGTTGCCAGAGCCTCCTGGCTGCCCCTCAGGGCGTCCTGCCTCCCCAGGTCCGCAGAAATGGCCGAGCTGATCATGTTGGACGGCCCACCGATGAAGAAGCCAGTCACAGCCAGGATCACGGCGTTGATGACCTGATCGTTAGGTGATCCTGAGAGTCCAGAGACACAAAAACAGAAACCCTGACATTAACGTGATTATAGAACTGTAATTAGTGAAGGATGTTCTGTTTATGTTCTGGGCTGTTTGGTTCTCTAACATGGGTGTATGTACTCACGGCTGTATCCCACTAGGGCTCCCATCGCCATGGCCAGACTGAAAGCCAACACTGGAGCTCTTTTACCCAAGAAATCAGAAATCAGACCCTGAACTGTCCCCCCTGGCGCACGCGCGCGCACACACACACACACACACACACACACACACACACACACACACACACACACACACACACACACACACACACACACACACACACACACACACACACACACACACACACACACACACACACACACACACACACAACGACAAAAAGATGCAGTCAGATTTTAAATCAGATGTTAGACACCACTGGTCTGCAATGCGGGGTACCTCAAGGCTCTGCTCTCGGTACACTCCTGTCTCTATTAAAACTACACCCTCTTGGACAGTTTATTAATACATTTCACAATATTTTGCACTACTTTTATGCAGATGACACGCAGCTGTTCTTGAACTGCATCAGTACCACTCAGAGACCACCAACTGGTTTAAACGTATATATTTCAGTTAAACTCAAAAAGACTGAATGTCTGATTGTTGGATGAAGAAGGAACAAAGGGTGTCTGGCAAAGTGAGGGGCAGCTGGGTTGTGAAGCAGGGATTATTGGATGAACAAGGAAAAGTACAAGGAGCACAAGCTACGGACCCATCTGGGATTCATCGAAAGGCTGGACATTCCTAGTGCACCCAGGAACATGAGAGGTACTCCGACATTCTTCTTTGTTGTATTCCTCTTGTCCAGCAAGGGTGTTAGCAGTAGCTCAGGCTAGCATTTTTCTGGGGTTACTCTTTATTAGAAAAATTCTTACAAATAAATTTTACTCTCTTACTAATGAGGTAAAACCTACAACAAACCCTTACCGATGATCCCGCCGACATCGTACCACACAGACAGGCGATCGGCCTCGGCCTCCTTCCATCCGTAGTTGTTGCTCAAGTAAAATGGAAGCCAGAAGAAGAAGGAGTAATTAACCAGCTTCAGACACGCATAAGCCAAGGAATACTGCAGGACAAAAGGAGGACGAGTGATGCAATCGCTCTGGTGAACACCTCTTTAACGTTAAGAAGACTCACGGGCAAAACTCCAGGTAGACAGAAAGCCTGGAAGAAGCCGATGGCCTGAGGAGACTCCTCCTGAGGTTCGTCGGGCTGCTGCACTGACGGGAACCGCCTGCTGCACACCTGCACCTCCTCTTCCTCCTCATCACTCATCAGGGGCCTGTGGCTGTCTGAGTCTGCCTCCACTGGGCTAAGTCCAGTTTCTGACTCCACCAAACCTGCCACAAATGAACTCACTGGGTCAACAGCTTCTATGGTTAGGAAACGACACACATTTCTGCCTTTCTTACCAACTTCTTTAGGGGAAGTGAGGAGGCCGAAGAACACCACCACTCCGCCAGCAAACTGCACCACAGATGTCACCAGGAAGGCATACTGCACAGACGATGGAAATATTAGCTCTGAGAGTGTTTTGGCAAAAAAATAAAAAAAATAAAAAAGCTGAAGGTGTGTGTGTGTGTGTCTCACACCTCGTATCCATACTTGAGCACACTAGAAGCCAGGAAGGCTCCCAGTATGTTGCCAACAGAAGCACAGGCGCTCCACAGCCCAAACACAAAACCACGCCTAGAAAAAATAAATAATACATTGAACAAATAAATTTTATAAATCCCTGGTGAGCAGCTGCCTGTAAACTGGTCACAGACCCCGCCTTGCCGAACCAGTTGCCCATGACGGCCACCACGCAGGGCCAGACGGCCGACTGCAGCAGGCCGTTCATCACCCAGAGGCAACAGTACAGATAGATGTTGTAGATGTGGAGCCATTCCGTCAGAGTACCAAACACAAACTCCTGCAAGGAAACACAAATCCCGACTCTCTGAGCGTTTCATTCACATCTGTCAGGAGGTTCATGAGATAGTTTACTAATGAACACGCGTCTTTCAGCAGCAGATAATTAGCATCACAAGAAGCCAACAACATTCAGTTCTGACCACAATAGCAGAGCCGCACAGGCCAAAGCAGAGAACGTAGCGCAGGTTGACTCTGTCTCCTACCACTCCACTCAGATACAGACCCTGTGAGGACGAGAGCAGATAAAACACTGACTTGGTTCAAATTAAAAAGACTCAAAGTTCTTTGCTTGATTTTAATTCCTGCAGAAGGCTGCTGACACTGCTGTCAGGAAGCGTGAGCTAACTTAAACGGCCGCTGAGGATTCTTGTCAACATGTTCTGGTTGACTCACCACTGCGTAAGAGAAGAGGAAGATCGAATCCAGAGCTCCCAGAAATAGAGTAGCCTGCTTTTCATCAGCAAAAAGGCGATTGTCCTCCCATGTCTGGACAGAAAACACACCAAATTAAACAGTTTATCTAAAAATAAAAATAAATTAGCTAAAAGGAACCTTTCTGATGCATAATTACATTTCTGGATGCTCTAGGTATAAAAACGTTTTTTCCTGAACTTTAGCTTTCCAATCATGCCTTCTGAAGTGTCAAATTAGGAAAACAGCCATGCGTCGCCACTGAGTGGCCATTTTTTAAATAAAAAATGATTTTAATTGGACGTTTTGATCATTACTTGACTGGGGGAGAACGCGGGTATGCTGTCGTTCTGGATGGAGGGTGTCCACTGAGCAGAGATGCTCACTTTCACGTTGCTAAACGTCTTCCTGGATGCATGGAGCAACACATAGCTGCAAAAAGACAAAACATGGCAAAACATTTAAAGTTTAAGTCATTCTGTGTTTAATTTGGCTGCACATTAAACAGTACTGATCATCCTTGCTGCTCTAACAGCATCTAGGTCACCTCACTCTGACGACCTTTAACCCATTTTGCACAAGCTACGTTTAAATTATTGATCGTCTTTTATGGAGCTTATTAGAAATATTGAAATTAGCAAAATATAAACTGAAAATAGTAAAAAAAAAAAAAAGCATAAAAAATACATCTCATGGGTTCTAATTACTATGCTTACACCCAGAAAAGCAACTGGAGGAGGACGTTATCATTAGAGCCAAAGAGCTGCATTGTGGGAGCTTATCTCCTGTTGGTGATAAGGATGGGTTTAACTAGAGCTACAAACTCAAATATGGTGGAGAAAAAGAGACACGGAAGCATCTCAAGAATCAATGAATGGATTTAAAAAAATGGATCTGTGCTGTCAAGAAAGCAGAAACATTTGTTTTATTGATGCTGGCAAACCCAGTGACCTCTCCAGATTACCTAAAGAAGGTGAGGAGAAAGACAACCAGATGATGATGGGTGTACTGTGACAGATAGCCACAGTACGAGGGAGGCATCACGGGGTGGGCGAAGGGAGGAAGAGGAGGATGAGGAAGGAGGTGGTGCTGGCTGGAGGTCTTTGAGAAATATGTGGAGAGGTTCAACTAGGATGCTCCGCTAAACCAGATGGGACAAACACATCACTACGGGAGGGACGAGGAGCCTGCAGAGGAATGAAGTCAACGTTAAATGAAATAGTTGATCTGGTATCTTGACACGTTTTTGAGGACTTCATCAATTCATGCATGAATGCACAGGTTCAGGTACGATGACGAGTGCTGCCTCGTGGAAAGCAGCCGTCTTCCTGTGCTTTTTACGGACACCTGGTCTGAATGCCTCCTTGTGAACGGCCATGAGCAGCAATCAAAGAGGCCAGTGTGTTGGCATTTAGAAGCATCCCCCACCAGAGGGTCCAGCAGCAACTCGCTTTGCTGCTTTTATAAAACTCTCAGAACCTCCTGTGGGGTTTTAGTTCTCAAGCAGCACGATTTTACTCTAGATGATGATCAAGGTTAGATTAAACCCGATGCTTGCATCATTTATTAAGTGTCTTTGTTATTGTGTAACTGCTGATAAATGGGTTGGACAAGAACACAATGTGAGGATTAAAATAAACAGTTCATTAGCTTTTGTATAATCAACACACCTAGAAACCGGCTGTTCTTATTAGGTTCCTATGTGTTTATTACTTCAAACTGCGTACTGAACTGATTGAAATATTAACAGAAACACGTCTGAAGCTAAAGGTCAAACAAAACACGATTTTTTTAATCTATGGACCCTTTTCGTGTCGTTCAACAGACGTTACTATGGCAACTATAACTAAGCCATTGTGTGAGTCGTTTAAGTTAAACTACTGTCATTAGTATGTAGTCTGTTTAAAAAATTTCATTCAACGATTTATTTTCTTTTTTGGGAATTTGAAGAAGGAAACTGTCATATATGTTACCGCGTTGGGTCAGGGCAGGCTAAACCGCAACGGACCATAAGTTCCGGGACCGTCAAACACATAAATGAGAATAAAATTGTTGAAAAAATAAAAATAAAAACACGGTGAGTTCCTACCTTTAGAACCGTTCGCTCGGAGCTTGGCTGAATCTGTTGTGTTTACTGTGGATGTGTCATTAACGCTAGCAGAGCGCTCAGCGCGGCGCGCTGCTGCCCCTACAGGACAGGAGGAAAAATCCAAGTGTTACATCAAAATGTTTCCCCTAGAAACATTGTCCCCCTCACCCGTCTTTCTCGCTCCGTCTCCAGTGGCGTGTCCAGATCTTTTAAAATGGGGTGGCCCAGGTGAGGCACACCTTTGTGCAAGGGTGGCACCAATGGTTATGCTTTTTTTGTTTTACCCCCCAAGCCTTTTGTGGACAATGAAAAGCCTATTTAAAGGTAAATTAGTGTGGTGGCACCTGGGGTGGCCAATAAGATTCCAAGGGTGGCATGTGCTACCCCAGGCCACTCCCTGGACATGCCCCTGCCGTCTACCCCATAAATTTTGAAGAAACAACAGCCAAATCTCTCACATCGAGATTCACAGGCTTACACGCCACAGCTCTTATTTGTTACACTGATAAAGGAAATGTTATTTTACCTGAGCTAAACGTTATGTTGCACTGCTGATGCTGTAGCGGAGGACAAACTCAGAAGACGGAAATTGACGCCAACCAGTGGCAACAAGTTGGAACTACACTCTACTCTGATAAACCATTTAGATTAGATTTATTTTAGCCTTTTCATCCAAATGAAGCTGAAAAATATTTTTGACCTGTTGAGGATCCAAATATTATGGGGATGAAGGAGTAGATCACCTGTATGATGATCTCACAAACGCTGAAAACGCACGTGACGCTGTATGTTTAGCTTGTTGACTGCGTTTGCATCCTTCTCTCACTCTACGCTTTGACGTTATTACGTTGCATTGTTACGTCATCCTGCCAGCCTATAAAAAGGGCGCTGGAGCCCTGTGTCAATCAGTCGAGCTTCTTAGCTGGAAGGATGAGTGGATTCGGGGGTCTCTTATCAACTCGTACACTCCGAAATTTCTGTAAATTTATGGCAGAATTCCAACAGTAACATACCGTTTTTCCAAATTACGGCAGGATAATGTTAAATCTGATGTTTTTTTCTGTTGAATTACGACAGCCGGAAAATTACAGCAAAAAAATGATCTGGTCTAATGCAGTATTTCCTTTGAAGCACATTTTTGAAGTTCTCAACTTGAACAGTCAGCTACGTTGAAGAAGAAGAACAAGAAGACAACCACTGTTCATCCTCCAACTTGAAAGCTTCTAATGGGTAAGTTTATCACTCTTAAGAATGTAAATTGTGGTTTTGGTTAGTATTAAGTCAATATATAGATCACCAGAAACCCACTTGTCAACGTTTAGCGTACTTATAAAACATGACACAAAATGAAACATCACTTGCACCATAGTAATTTTAGGAGTTTTATGGTGGAAAGTTAAATATTTATTTTTAATGACTGGAATTTTAGATTTGTCATGTAGGACCACGTTTTCGTTTTTCATCTTTGTACATTCATGCTAGCGTTAGCATCTGAACTGGAGGCTCTTTAGTGAGATATTTCATTAATAACTATTAGTGTGCATCAGTGCCACCGCTGGGCTCTCTATCAGGCGTACAGTGGTTGGCGGACATTCTTTTTGGGCCAACATTACTGACCATTGACATATATACTGCACAATTCATTTCCATAGGCTCCAATAACACGTTTTTGTGCCAAAATGGGAGGTGGCCACCACCGCCATTTTGACCGTGTCACAGGTTCCGTCACGCCCAGACAATTCCACAAAAGGGAAGAGAGGTGGAGCTGAGGGTGTGGCTGTAAGGCTGGGATCAACTGACGACACCCGGTCGAACTAGCTACAAGCTAACCTGAAGCTAACCCAAAGCTAACGCGGAGGTGGGAGCTAAGCTAACGGAGGTAGCAACCTAGCTACAACCGGAGTTAACTGTGAACAACACCAGAGCTTCTGAGTCAGAGATACGCTGGGCTGACCGCTGGGTAAAAACAGGTGGAACAGAGGTCTCCCGAAAGCTGCTGAAAGCCAGCAGCCCGTGCAGCAGACAGAAGCCGCGATCAGACAGAGATGCGCCGATCTGCGGGGAGGGGAAAACCACAAGCCGGCAGCCCACGCAGCAGACTGAAGCCGCGATCACAGATGCGCCGAGCTGCAGGGAGGGGAGAAACGGGTGGAAAACATCGGTCTCCTGAGAGCTCCACAAGCCGATAGTCGGAACCCAGCTCCACCAACATGTTATATTTCAACCCATTTTCTAAAGTGCAGCATTATGTTAAATGCACGGGGTTTTACCCTATTACATTTAAATTTCATGGTTAAACAGTACATGTTAAAATCTAAGCTCAGCTCGGCAGTGACCTAAAATACATAAATATCATTTTATTTACCGAAAATAATGAAGTGGAGACTCCTTGGACGCTCTATTAGTGCAATTAATGCCACAGCAAGTCATTTTGTCCAACAATTGCACAAATAATATCCAAAAAAGAATACACAAACACAGAGACTCAAAATCCCGGAACAGTTTCCAAGCCAGACCGAGGCTCAACTAAGGCCTTTCCACGGAGCTAGCTCTGTGGTCACGTGGGTCTGATGCTCCTTAATTATACAGAATTTTAGGCTTTTAATACACTTAAACAGAAGAGTGAGAAAAAAATTCACCCCCCTCAGAGTTGTCATGAGTGTAAACTAGATCATTTAAACAAAAAACGTTTTGGTACTAGGCTGTAAACATGTTTATTTCTGCTGTGAAATTGGTATTTTTAACATGGGAGTCAATGAGGATTTGCTCGCTTCTGATACCAGCCCCCAGCAGATGAGGGTGGAACTGCAATTTATTTCACTCCCGGGTTTGACTAAATTTCAGAGCTGCATTGTGGGGGCCTGGGTGTTATGCTTTGTGACAATGGTCTTGTCAGAAGACCACTTCCGTGGTCTTGTCACTTCCGGAATGCGAGCGTAGTTTGGCTAACTCGTTAGCTTACATGCTCACTTTGGTTTTCTGATGTGCATGCAAACACACAGACTGGTGGAGCTGCATTAATGTTAGCCAATCAGAGGTGAGATGTCCAAATATCAGGAAATAAGACTCCAAATCCTGCTATGTTCTGCCACTTTCTCCTCCAGTTGACTTCTACATCCTCAAACAGTCGCACCAGCGCTCAGATTCAGTTTAAATGACTCTACGATTGGCCTTGGGTCCAGGGCCACCATCCCATAAGCCTTTGCTGCATGTCAATTACAGCTTGGTCAAATAAATCATACTCTTCAATTTACAATTGGCAAACAAGCCTTCAGGAGTGGATTTCAAATCTCCAGCTCAGATAACAAAGCATTATATAGTTTTACTTGTCTGTTATGTGAACAAACCAGATCGTAGCTCAGGCACCTGTGTGTTTAGACTCACAAGTAATTATGTGTTCACACTAGGTTATGGACCATCACAAGCAACAAAGTTGTGAACAAAAGCAGCATGACGAGGCGGATTCTTACGAGCTCACAACACTAGATGAAAATAAGTCATATCTTCAGCGCCTTTTAGACGTTTATCCTGCTTCCAAGCTTCTTTGAAGATTAGTGTGGTTAGTGTGCAAGGCACTATAAGGAACAAGAACATGTCAAAATCTGTTCAGGAGAGGTTACGCACCTCGAGCTAACAACTAGCGGCTAGCGTGCTAGCTAGCGACCAAACTATCTGAAAACAAAAACGGACGAACAGCAGATGGCAGAGGACTTTCCTCCACTACCAATAACACCATCCAAACCTAGCCTACCCTAACCATACCTACTACATCACTAAAGTCAGTCGGTTGCAAGTTTTTAGGAACCATGACTCGATCTGGACTGGGGCAACCTACATAAACCCTAAATAAATGCATGAGAGGAATTATTAAGAACGAAGCTCATCTTCCTCTGAACACAAGTTATGGAAGTGCTTGTCCATCGTTTGTATTAGAGGCGCCGTTCCCTCTCGTTTGCCTGATTGCAGGGGCGGGCCCCTCCCATGCCCTGGCCGGGGGCTCGCTGCCCTGATGCTCCACCCCTGACGTGAAGAAGGAAAGTCTGCCTACTTTGTTGGCGGTCGAGGTTTTGTGAACGGAGCCGAAATTCACATATAAACTTTAAATCACACCAAGAATATCAAGTCTTCTCAAACCCTCTAGATGGTATTCTTTGTTTTCCTACAAGATTTACAGACAAAAAATAAAGGGGTAAAATATACATATACAAAAAAGAGGGAATGGAGAAGGGGAAGAAAGGATGAAGGGTAGTAAAGAAAGGAAGAAAAAAGAGAAAGATAGTTAAAGGTTCATTATTGTGGTTTTCTGATACACATTACTGCTAGCTTCACAAATTTATCTCTGTTGTTAACTAAATGTTTATTGTTAAATAGATAAAGATTTGTTTTGAAATACACTCTAGTCAAGGTCGTGGTTCAGTTTATGGTGGTTTGGCGCCATCATGTGGACAGTTAACATCATTGCGGTTATTTTATTATTTGTTGTTTTATTTTGCAGTTTACTTGCAAAATCTAAACAATTAAGAGGTAAGAAATTCTTTATTCACAGTTTACCTACTTTATAAGTCTTAATGCATGTTTTTGGTGTTTTTTATTTTTAGAAATTAACCTTATATCTGACTCCTAAAACAAATGTATCCTTGCATAAAACCCACAATTCCAGAAACAACATAAAAAGAAGTCTGCATCCAAAGAGGTGCAACAATTATTCATGATGAGACATAAAATAAATTAAAATGTTTGAAAATATAAGACAATTATGATGCATAGCCTAAATTAGCAAATGCTGCATGCAGAATCGTAGGGAAACAATAAATAGTGATTATCTTTTGTAAAACAGATGAAAACTGACAAAACAGACTAACTATGGGACACAGATGCACGCAGACATGCATAAATCAAAAAAGTTGTCACTAAATGAACCCAACTTAGTTCAAAATAAGCTGAAAAATGATCAAAATCACACAGAAACAATCGTTAAAGGACCAAAAACCAGCTCAAATTGTGGAGCAATTATGCCTAAAAGCCACACAATACCCAGCTGGAGGCCGAATGAAACTGTGGCCTTGAATCAGAGTCTTTTCAAAACTGTCAGAGGCCTTTCAAGGACTTAACTGGTTCTCAAAGAC